TCATGCATTTTTTCCTCGCAGAAAAAAATTGTTGGTTTTTTCAATATAAACCAATGTTTCTTGAGAGCTCCAAAAGTCCGTTCGACATCCTTCCTAGCTCTTTCTTAAGCTTTCTTGAATTTTTTCCGACTAGTATCATTCGGACACGTCTCCAAAATAGTTGGTTTTTTCAATATAAACCAATGTTTCTTGAATTTTTTACGATTTAACAAAAACTGCATACTCAGGATAGATCCCATCAATTAGATAATAACCATATTTATATGGTGTTCCACGCAATTGAAAAGAAGAATCCGGTGCAGATCTGTTGTATATGTTGTTAAATATAGGTGAACGATTAAGAACGTTAATGTCGTTAAGGTCGTTAAGGGATCCATGAGAACAAAAAAAAACATGCCAAATCCATTGATACTGTGATACCACCGTTTCAAGTATGACCGTTGGATGCCCATGATCATCTCGGGTAAATTGACCATGGTGTGAGGTAGGGCAATTTTCCAATGCCCAATGTAGAAAATCTAAACTTCCTAACATTCTAGGAAAGTCATTTACGCTAGCATAATGAGATTGCGATTTCATGATGTCATTGCGTGTAGGCTTACATAAATATTTTGGACCATAAAACTGAATAATAGTTTTGCCAAAAATAGTGTAGACTATCTCGTGTAGTCCTAGCTGACATCCTAAAACTCTCGTCTAACGCATTAGGAGGGATGTCATATGCTAATTGACGAAGTGCAGTTGTGCATTTTTGTAAAGGGGTGAAACCGGGTGTACCTCTAGCATCGGGTCGTTGCTCGAAAAAATCACACTCCCTCGTTAGATCTTTGACTATACGTTCGTACAAAGGTTTGAACATTCTGAAGCACCTTCTGAAGTAGTATCATTGAAAAGTGGCATTTTCTTAAAAGTAGTCTTGTATCAAACGTTGGTTTGTATCTTCACGATTTCTACAAATAAATCTTTGGGTTCTCCGTTCAGCACTGCCGGATACGCTACTATATGCCGCTTCATACGTTTGTTCCGCAAATTTAGCAGCAACAACAAAAACATCGAACATAACATCAAATTCTTTAGAAGAAGCGGATTAAGACTTTTTTTTTTTTTCCAGAGGTAATGTAGTAGAAAGATAAAACAAATGTGAAGGGTTGAAAGGTTTATATAGAAGTTAAAGGTTAAAAGGAAAAAAAATTAATAAATTAAAAAAATAAAAAATCAAATTATGACCGTTTGCAACGGTCAAAAGGTGTGACCAATCAAAAACGTCCGAGAAGTGCTCCCTCCTACAGCCGCACTACGGCCTCAGCCGTACCCATACCGCACCTAAGGGGGGGTGTTTACGCATACGTGGCACAAGACTACGACCTCATCCGCAGCCCACTCCGTCAGGTCTCAGCAGAATTGTAGCTATGGATCACCCCAATAATTCAAGATTTCAAGATATCTCAATGATTTGTCATTCCAACAGGTACATAATTATTAATTATAATCTGTAAACTTGATTAGTTATCATAACTTCATAACAAAATAAATTCATGTAGCAATGTTTGTCATTATAATATGGGCTTATATCAATTGTAATCACAAATTAACAAGCATGTCTATCATGATTAAATCGGCTTTAATGAGGTTGGCTTAGTATAGTGATTCTCTATGTGAAGAAAGTGACATTTGATTGTATATATAGCACAATGAAAAAGCATGTTGGTATGGAGAAAGCATCGGACTCTATAATTTTGTTTCTCTGTTGCAAAATTATTGGTATTCAAACCTAAAAATCTTTTGTTTTTTGTCATGTGCTCTTTCTTGGTTTCAAAATGATAACATGCTTAGACACTCGCTCTATCTCTCTCTTAATTTCGACTCCTTGGTTTTTTGTTGTTAAGGAACTCCTTGGTCCAATTGATCCAACTGTAGAAATCGATTTCGAGAAGAGAGAGGCAATAACGTACATGAAGAAGAACATAACCGGTTGATCAATCGACCCAAGAAGATCGAACCCTAGAGACGTTCACAAGTTCTTCACTCCCTCCCGTTCATGATTCTATACTTCTTCCCTTCCGTTACGTTGCTGAGCGTTTGATATTTCCCCCTTAATCCACGTAAGATTGCCAGGTCATAATGCATTTTTCCTTAATTAATTTTCACAGCCAAAATTTCGTGTAACCTACACATGTCTGTTACCAATGGGTAAGATTTGAATAAATCGTTTACTTTCGTTTTTTTTTTTTTTACAACGTCTTTAGTTGGATGGTATTTTTTGAACAGATCAAACTTTGATGGTGTTTTTTAAACAATTTTGAAACTTAACTATCCTTTGTAAGGCGCTGTTTGTTTTTTTGAAGCAAAAATTCATAAAGTCTGCGGACCACCTCTGCGGCCCTCTGCAGTAAAAGAGGTGGACCAAACGGCTGCAGACTGTAATAAGAAGCGTGTTTGTTTTTTTTAACATCTGCATACTGCTGCAGACATTAAAAATTAAAATAAACTGATTTTATAATCCGAATATAGTTTTTTAATACCGAAAATTTAATAATGTATGACATTTCGACAATAATTTATGATATTTCAGCAAAAAATAATGATATTTTAACAAAAAATAAAGATATTTTAGCATAAAATAATAATATTTCATCAACAAATTATTATTATTCAATATAAAAAAAAGAAAAAAATTCAACAAGAATAAACAAAAAAAAATGTGAAATAAGATTTCAATAATATATAATCAATATTTTATCAAGAAAAAAAGAGGAAGAAGAGGTTGGAAGAGGTAGGAAGAGGCAAAACAAGTGTTGCGCGAAGAAGAGCACGCGCAGAGGTTTTTTAATCCGAAGACTTCTGAAAAACAAACAACTGCGAGGTGAAAAATGTTACGCGTGTGTTGCGCGGCACAGCAATAAGAGGTCTGAATAGGTTTTTTCCAAAAAACAAACAGCACCTAAGTCATTTTCGCTATAAAAAAGTATGATGGGGAAGGTTCTGGATCACATGGAAATATAGAAATTGAGCAGTTTATATTGGAAAATAACAAAAAAAAGGTAGCTAGGAAATGTGGACGTAGGTAATGAAGAATAGGCTGCCCAATGACCACGCTGCCCGTGCACTACCATCTTCTAGAAGCAACAGTCCAACTGCCAAGACATATAGAGAGAACGTGATTATAGAAAAAAAAATGTTTTCTTTTATCATAACAAAATTATAAAATTATTTCATATAATAAATATAAATAATACTTATATTCTACATCAATAAATTGAACATATGATATTATATGACGCCACAGTTTAAAGCGATTTTATTTTGTAGTGTATATCATCAAATTAAATGTTTGTCTCAATTCGTTTAAAGTTTCGTTTTCAAAATACGATCTGGATAAATAGATAGATCTCTAGACATGAGATGGCAGGTGTTTTTTTTTTTTTTTTTTTTTTTTTTTTTTAACCAGTCGTGTAATAGGAACAATACGTAGGTTTTGTGGCTTTAGCCGAAACAATTCAATTAGCTAAACGGGAAAACGTGACATGGTTTTATTAAATAATATATCAATTATCAAAAGACGTATCAGATGATATAAGTTCAAAGATACATATTTAAAGTTAATTACAAAATAGTTTGTAGGAATATATATCTAAATTATGTTTTATTGGTTCTTTGTCCACAAAACATTTCTAAAAGTATCTTAAAATAAAAAATAAAAAGAAATATTTATACATGGTTTCTATCAATTTAATAAAACTATCATCTACATATCAAGTCCTTAATTAACATTAAAAGAATTCAATATTTCACAACCTCTAAAGCAAGTAAAGAATTGTTTAAAGTTCAAAAAGTCAACTCTAGTACCCCTAGGTGGCAGATGTTTTGCCTTTTAGATTGATGGTTCCGAATTCTAATCTGAATGTTATCAAATTCTAATAATTTGATGATACTAAATTTTAAATTCTGACCACTAACCAACGGTTTAAAAAAAAATATAAACTCAAACCCCAACACAACCTAATCCATTGTCACTCAGATTTAAAATGGTTTTAATTTCAGCAGCAAACAATCAAAAACACATAACCTGTGATATTACTTTTAAATCTATATATTTGTTTACCATAAAACTTGAATCCTTAACCATTTTGAAAAATGACATCATCAAATGTAACCTAACTAGCTTTACATACATTTAATTATTTCATGTGTAGCCTTCTGTTGGAGACAAAGAACATAATAGTTATCTTTATAAAATTACAAAATAAATAGATTGAAAAAGGGTAAAACATTACAAGTTATATCATTAAATCAATATAGCATATGGGTAGACACTGTATTTGAACGTTGTGCCAACAAGTTACACGAATAACATAAGAAAAAATAATTAAAGTATCTTACAAATAAGAAAGACATTATATAAACTTAAATGCGAGACCTTTTTTATGAATAACAACTTTCTATCGGTACCAAAAATTACAATAACAATATAACATAACAATAACAATATACATATAAAATAAACTAAATAGCAGTATTTATATTAATCTATAAACCAACTTCACCATTTAATTTAATAATGAGGAAAATGCGTAAACCCTTCATGACTTCATCCACTTGATCAATTGTCTACTAATTATACTTATATAAAAAAGCAAAACGTGGCATGCTTAAAAAAGTAGTTAAACGAAACGGAGAAAGGGCAATACCGTCATTTTCAAAGGTCAAAATGTTTGACTTCAAACACGAGCCATCGACACCTAAACCATAGAAATCTAGAATATAAATAAATAGCCATCTAAAGTTGAAATTCATCGTTCAAATTACATATATACCCTCCAAACCATCATCTCTCTATATAAACACCAACAATCTACATTAATCTCCATTAGTTCAACCTCAAGCAATAAATACTTTCACCTCTCTCTAATCAACATTACTTCCCATCGTTCATCAAATTGGGCGTCTTTGAAAGAAACTGAGTATCAGTATACAAATATTTGATCAAAAAAATCAAGAAAATGGCACTAGACAACAGATATAACTCATGGGCAGATCAGTGGGATACAGAGCCAGAGTACTACAATGGTTATCCAGGAAGCAAGAGCAACCATGGTAGTGGTGGTGGCATTAAGAGTAAGGTAGGAGAAGGGTTTGATAAGTCAAAAGCGGTAGCAGCAACGGGGATGAAGAAGGTTAAAAAAGGAACAACTCTTGGATTTCATTGGATTAAAGAAAAGTGCCACAAAACCACTCATAAATAAATAGTGATCGATCCATTAAGGTGCATATTTGTCGGTATTGCTCATGTTTGTATGATATTTGAGGATCTTGGTAGGGTTTTGTTCATATTGATATTTTTAAGTTTGTTGATGGTTATGTTATATTTGTTCGTTAATTCATTGATGTAACACGATAATTTAGTTTTTTTTTTTTACTTTTTATTTTCCAGTGAACTCGGTATCTTAATTTATTGCATGGGTGGCCTAGGGTGGGTCTCTTACTCTTGTAGTCTTGTATTGAAATTTTGCTGCAAAATAAAAACTATATACCAAATGTAGCAATTTTAACGTGTGGTAAGAACGTGTCTAGTTTGGAATGGAAGGACAAGTGGTGGCTATAGCTCTCATTCATCGCTTAGGATGCACTGAGTGGGAAAGAATCACCAGTGGTACCAGACTACCGGCGGTACCATGGCTCCGCCCCACAATGAATTCAGCTACCTCAGGCTTGGCCGGCCTCACCAGTCACCACCACCTTCAACCCGTTCATCTCTTTCTCTTTCAGCTTGAACCATATGCATCAAAACTTGAACAGTGGGAGTGATTTGGGAGAAATGGATTATTTGTGTTGTGGGTCAGAGAGATGAAATTGAGAGGATAAATAAAAGATGATGTCACGTCTAGGTATCTAGTGGATTGGGAGGTTGAGGGGGGACTCTCTCTACCTTGGGGCATGTTTGGTTCACTAATTTTGAAGAAAGTTGGATGAATTTGAATGTAAATTCCAATAAAGTTGCTTTTGTTTGACAAAATCAAAGAAAATGAAATTCGCTAGATTCCATTATGTTATATGCTTCAAGGAATTGTTCATTATTTGACTAAAGAAAAAGATTTTAGATGTCATTCCTTATGTTTTATTACAAATAACATAATTACAAAGATAAAAATACACTCTCATATTCTTTTAATTTTAGCTACAACCCATCAAATAAAAACACATTATTATCATCTCTCTCGCAGCCTACCACTCACCCAACCCAACCCCCACACACACACCATGACACTACCAAATAATCCATTTCTCCCAAATCACATTATCACCAAACGAACCGAACGTTCGGCGAATTTTTTGGCGGGAAATTCGTTTATGTTCGTTTATTTAATAAATAAACGAACATGAACACAAATTTTCGTTCGTTTAGTTAAACAAACGAACATGAACAATAGTCTTTCTTGTTCGTTCATTTATGTTCGTGAACGTTCTTTATGTTGTTCGTTTAAGTTTATTTATGTTCATATATGTTCAATTGTTTTTTATTATATTACTATATTATATATTCGTTTATGTTCATATATGTTCAATTGTGTTTGTTTAATTTATTTTTGTTCGTTTATGTTCGTTTGTTTATGTTCATTTAGCATATTCACGAACATGAACACATCAAATTTTTAAACAAATGAACATGAACAAGAAAAGTCGTTCGTTTATATGTTCATGTTCGCGTTTGTTCGGCTAACTTAAACGAACGAACATGAACAAGTCATTGTCTGTATTCGTTTGGTTCGTTTACAGCCCTACCACCAACCCATTCAAACATATACCCACCCACTGTCACCCTTACCTCACCCACCCCAACAACCACACCCATACCCACAATTACACGAAAACACACATGCTTACGACCAGGGACGAACCTACTTGGTATTTCGGAGTGGCACACACGACCCCTCAAAATTTACCATCAAGTGCAAAATTTAGTATAAATTCGTTAAAATATGTCATAATAAAATCCGTCACGAATTCATTGGAAATCCGTCACAAAGTCTTAATTAGTGTAAATTTAATGTAAATATGTCGATATAACCATTTTAGTGACATATTTTGTGACATAAACTATTGTGAAAAAATAAATTTTTATTAGTAGTGCAACCCTTAAAAAATATTATAGAGCCCCTATTATTTTTTGTGCTTCTTACGCCTATGCTTACACGCTCATGCATATATAGACTAACGTGAATACACATGTTTTCCTTTTCTTTTTTAACTCTTAAAATTCGCATCTAGCTTATGCCTATATTTTCGTTTTATAAACCTATACTTTTGCTATATATTACATGCAAATTTACATAGTAACAAATTAACAAATATACAATAATTCATTAAAAAAAATGGAAAAATGAGTTTTTTTTTAAGGTGATTAATAAAGCATGTGTAAGTCATTGTAAGAAAAAATAGAAAATCTTTCACCCTTTTCAAATACCCAAAATTATTTCTCATAAAAACACCAATGTTATAAAAAATATATACATAGTACTCCCCTTATATATTTTATTTGTATTATGTAAGTTTACTATCTTAATTACCTTCTTTTGTTTTTTTACTTTTGACTATTATGTTAGGGGTGTTCGTTTGAATGGATCAATTCGATCCAATACAATCAACACAATCAAAATTGATTTTGGTTTTAAAAATATAAATATAAATAATTCAAACCAAATTCAAATATGGTATGATCCAAGAATATTACAATTTAGTTGGATCGTCTTTATAACTCAGTTTACAAGAGCTATGACATTTTAAAAAAATATATAACTTAAGTATCAGCGCACTCTATAAAAGAAACTAAGAAAAATGTTTAGTTGTTAATTAAAATTTAGAGTAAATTACACGAATCGTCCTTCGTGAAAGTGTCAAAAAGCAAATTCAGTCTCTTTTTCAATTATTTTTAATATTTATGGTTAGTTTTAATTTTTTTTTTTAATATTTTAATTAAATTTGTTTATTTATTATTAATTATTTTTTTTTGAAAAAGATAAAGGGCCCCACCAAATACACATACACCCTCTTTTAATAAATACTCTCTACTCTTTAAATCCTAGAACCTAGAGACCCTTTCTCATTTTCTCCATCAGAAACCAACGGCCACCTCCTCCCAAATCGAAAACCATTATCCACCGTCGTTGACTGTCATTGCCCATCGTTGGCTACCGTCAGAAGCCACCGCTTCTCTCTCTCTCTCTCTCTCTCACACACACACACACACACATACATATATACATACAAACACACAGAATCTTCGGATCTGTTAAAACTCTAATCGTCGACAACCAACGCCCTCATCAGATCTATTAACATCGTCGACGGATATTTGGACCACCAGAAAGTAGCCCCTATTTTTTCTCCCTCTTTTCATCTGGTTTTTGTCCCTCTCGTCACCAGATCTACACAACCATGACCTTAGATCTACGGCTTCGATGGGTGAAGAACAAATTTGTGGGTTTCAACAGGTGAATAACAAATCTGATGGTTTCAATAGCGGCGCTATGGTTTTCAAGTGGCAATGATCGTGCAAGGGTTTAAGAAGAAAGTCAAGGGAGATTAAAGGGGGAGAAACCGACAATGGTGATGTTATTTCTGACTGCGTTCCACATCTCCGACGGAGGTGGTACTTGTCGGATGTGAACAGAGGAAAGGAAATGAGGTGGTGGTCAGTGTGGAGGTAGTCCATAGGGTTTCTGATGGTGGTGTTTAAGTGTTCTCCAACAATATATATATATATATATATATATATATATATATATATTAGTTTATAACCCGTGGGAACCACGGTAACAAAATTAATTAAACTTTTATAGTAAAAACTTAAAATTATTAATTACTTATTTTAAATAAATTATTAATTAAGAGATTTTTTTAGTTATATAGAGTTATAATCATTGATTTAAATAAATATATAAAATTACATCACTTTATAATTTGTATTGATTTTATTTTAATTTTTATTCTAATCTTATTAATTTAATGTAATTAGAGTGAGAAATTTAAAATTTGAAATTTGAAATGGAGAATAAATAGGGTGATACGTAGCAAAAAAAGAATAAAATATGCATTAATTAGGTGGCCTAATATGGTGACGCATGTTAAAAGAAGAATAAAACTATTCTTTTATTAGAATAGGGATATATATATATATATATATATATATATATATATATATATATATATATATATATATATATATATATATATATGAACGGGTGAGAAATTATAGGAGATAGTAAGTTGAAATTCCTGTTATGCCCTTCTAACCATTTAAAAGTTACATTTTAATGCCAACAGTTTAAGAATTTTTCATAAATCCCTCTTTCAATAATGACTTTAGATTTAAGTATTTAAATAGTCCAGATTTGTTCTCGCGTTCTCAACCTTTTTAGTGTTCTCATTTGATTCTACTAATATATATATATATATATATATATATATATATATATATATATATATATATATATGCTTAGGTTATTGTGTTTTTACTAACTATTGTGTGCCAGAATGCACAGATCTGGATCACCGGATGGAATAAAATCAAAGGTCATGATCTGAGGTCTATGATATTACAATATGGTAACATGTACCATATAATCACACAAATTTCAGCATAAGGGCATTTTAGTCAATTAACCTATATTAAAAAAGGAAATTTTTGGATTTTTAGGGATAATTAATTCCTTTATTTTTAAAAATCTGAATATTTTAAATTAGTTCAAATTTAAAAGTCCGATTTTATTCTGTCAGGATGACAGAATGCCAACAATAAACTAGTAAATATATTTTCAATTTTATTCTTGCAGAATACATTTCCAATGCAGTTATATTTGATAATTGACCTGATTTAAGAATAAGATATTATTCATATACAACCAACTTGGGTCTATGCCACCACCACTACCACCACCTCTGACACCGGCCGACCCCACCATTGTCACCTCTGTTACTTATATCACCGCCACCTCTGTCACCACCACCTCTTCTGCCACCAACTGTCATAATCATTTATGATTACTCAATCTCTGAACAGACATATATGTATAATCATTTATGATTAGGCATATACGTATAAACATGTATAATCCTATATGATTATACCTCTCTGCCATATAATTATTTATGATTAGGCATACCCTGTTGCTGCGGGTACACTAGAGCATTAGAGCGGCAAATGAGAAATATGTGGCTGGGGTTGAATCTCAAGATCTCTATTTTTTTTTTAATCCCAAGTGAATCGTCCCCTATATATATATATAGATATATATATATATATATATAATATATATATATATATATATATATATATATATATATTAGGTTTAATGTTTTAAAAGGGTTTGGTGGACCCATAATTTTAATTAAAAAATTTTAATAATTTCATGTATAAAGCATGGAAATTTAAACTAACGTGGAATGAAACATACAACTTTAACCAAACGAAGAATAGTTCTAGTTAATTTTTAAAAATAGAGATCAAGGGGGTGTTTGGCTTGTCTTTTTGAGAGGGAAAAGTCATTTTTGGAAAAGTTACAAAAAGTCAGGATTTTCTAACTTTTCCAAAAAGTCAGTTTTCCTTATATCCAAAATCCAAAAATAGCTTTTAAAATGTTTTTACCAAACATCTTTTACCTTTTATAATTTAGAAAAATGACTTTTGTCTCTCAAAAAGACAAGCCAAACACCCCCCAAATGTGTTTTTTGGCACCTTATTGATGGACGATTTGTGTAATTTACTCTAAAATATATAAAAATTACAAAGAAAAATATATTATAATTCAATAATTTACAAATAAAAAACTTTTATGAAGAAATACATGTTAAGGTTTATAATGGACGAAACTTTCTAATATAATAATAATAATAATAGTAATAATAATAACAATAATAAACTTGTTTTAGTAAGTGATTAAAAATATATAATAAAAACAAAAGATATAAATAAATTGTTATTCGAGTTTTTTAGATTATTAGTTTCTTATGTTATCAACAAAAACCAATATAAAACCCAAAATATTACTTCATTTTTGGTGAAAACCAATCCATATAATGTGTCCTAATTGTCAAATTTGATTTATTCAAGTAATGAACCACTCTGCTAACAACGCCAGAGTGGTTCACTGGCATCAAAACATTATTGAATATTTCTTGTTAATAATTGATAAAAAAATGTTATATCATTCTATAAATGATTCTATATCTTTTAATATGGGATAGAAATTTAAATATCATAAAGTTTATTTATTTATATTACTAGATGTGAGACCCATGTATTACATAGGTTAAATAAAAAAAATATCAAAGTGTAAACATTAAGTATTTTTTTAAAAATTAAATTTTAAAATAAGGAAGGAAAAAACATATTTATTGCAATTTAATCATATTTATTACATTTAATACTTTACTTATATAAATATATGTATTATGTGACTTTTTAATTTTAAAAATTAGAAAAACCTAGAAATTGACATGTGGATATTATTTATTTCAAAAATACGTTTCTGTTCAAAATTACCAATAAGGAGTAATAATTAAACATTCAATTACATAGTTTATTAAAAAAAATTAAGGGTGAATTTCATATATACCCTTATTAAACGTCTAAATATCATATTTGCCCGACTTAAATTCTAAATATCGTATTTGTCCTTCTTAATGTTTTAAAATATCGGATTTGCCCAAATCTATTTTTTAAACAGTTTTTATTATTTAAGAATCATTTTTTATATATTAGAATCATCAAAAAATAAAAAAAATAACCAAATAGACCATAATACCCTTGCCTACTAAATCACAAAAATCCATTACCTGCGACATTTGGAATCACGATCCATATATGTAACCCTGCCTCTTTTTTTTTTCGCGCCTTCTACCAATAATTTGTTGTAGTCGTATACCCATCAGGTAATTTTAAGTTTTGTATGTATACGTATGTACAGCTTAAGAAGGAGTTTAGCAGTGAAGTCGAGTCTGCAATTGCTGCATTTATAGTCTATCCTCTTCCATTGGTCATGCAGATTTCACGCATCTCTTTAAAGTCGCAAATTAAGAAGCTAAAAAATATCGTTCACAGAATCGGTTACTTAGGGTGGTTAGTATCTATTTGTAAATTATTCAACAATAATCCCAAAATATTAACAAGCAATGCAATTATTATAATCTGTATGGTTTCCACTTTCTCCATATTCTAATATATATTGTAGATCATCAGTAGTTCCACAACACCAATGGCCCACAAACCAAAACCTCTCCATATTTGATGTGATTTACCTACAGTTTATTCATGTTTATACCTGATCAGTCTGCGATTTACCTACAGTTTATACCTGATCAGTCTGCGATTTTTGAAGCTATCCGTAGTTCTAATCATGAATTGAATAATCAATCAACAAATACAAAACATACAACTACATGATGATTATACGATTTGCAGCGGAAAAAAAAAGAAAGTGTTACAATATCGATCGTGATTCCAATTGACGCATGTAATGGATTATTCTGATTTAGAATGCAAGGGTATTATTGTCTATCTAGTTATTTATTTATTTTTTGATGATTTTAATATATAAAAAAGGATTCTTAAATAATAAAAACCGTTTAAATAATAGATTTGGGCATATCCGATATTTTAAAATATTAAGAAGGGCAAATACGATATTTAGAGTTTATGCCGGACAAATACGATATTTAGACGTTTAATAAGGGTATATACGAAATTCTCCCAAAAATTAAATACCACATCCATTTGTTGTATATGCTTGTGTCACTATATATATAGAAAAGTGCAATAATTTGCTTGTATTTTTTTGTTCATATGATAAAAAAAATGCAGTTGTCATCGTTGATATGTCAGGTGCATTACTAGAAGCGTATGATGAATTACATAGATGCTGCTTCTTAAGCACTTCCAGAGAAGCAGAAGAGACCAAGGAAAATATAGTCAATTTATAAAGGTCATCATGTTTGACCTCAAATACCAGTCATCCAACAAACAAAACAAACAATAAAGAAAGATACAGCACCCAAAGTTGAAATTCAACATTCAAATTACATTTATACCCTCCAACCAATATCTCTCTATATAAACACCAACAATCTACATTAATCTCCATTAATTCAACATTACTTCTATTTGTTCGTCTTAATTTGGCTTCTTCTCAGGAAATTAAGGATTTGTATACAAAGATTTGATAAAGATCAAGCAAAGAAAATGGCACTAGACAACAGCTATAACTCATGGGCAGACCAGTGGGACCCAGAACCAGAATACTACAATGGTTATCCAGGAAGCAAGAGCAACCATGGAAGTGGCAGCAGCATTAAGAGTAAGGTAGGAGAAGGGTTTGATAAGTCAAAATCAGCAGCAACAACGGGGATGAAGAAGGTTAAAAATGGAACAACACTTGGATTTCATTGGATTAAAGACAAATACCACAAAACCACTCATAAATAATTAGTCATTGATCCATCAAGATTCAAGGCACATATTTTATTTGTTAGAATGGATCATGTTTGTATGATATATATTTGTTTGTTAATTCATTGATGTAACAAGATAGCTTTTTTCCTATTTTGCATTTTTCCAAATTTAATTTAATCGAATAAAAAAAAGGAACATCGACTTACCTTTTTCTTGATACACTAAAAACTTGTTATCATAATCTGAAATGACGAGGGAGACAACCACATTTACTCTGTGCTCTAAGTATCTCTTGGGCAAAATCTTGATTTCCAGTAAGCAAAAGCCCATTCAAGATCCGATTGAAGGTAAATTTTCTAGGAACAAAACCTCTGTCCACCATTTCTATCAACAGTTTCCCTGCCACCATTAAATCATCTGATCTCTTCCTCACAAACATTGCACTGATCAAAATATTGTATGTATCCAAATTGGGCAAACATTCACCACTACCCATTCTCTCAAAAACTTCCAAACTCTTTTCGATTTCACCTTCATCACAATAATACCTAATGATCACATTGAAAATTTGAACATTTGGTTCACATTCATCTTGTTTCATTTTGTCCAGATACTCCATTGCCTTCTCCATCTTTCCAACATGACACAATCCTCTAATGAGTACACTGTAAGTTGTTGAATTAGGTGTATAGCCCTTCTTTAACATCTCTTCAAACACTACAATGGCGTTTTCCACAGTGTCTTTCTTGCAGAGAACTTGAATGAATGCAGTGTAAGTGGCAACAGAGGGAAGAATCCCTGTTTCAAGCATTTCATCAAACACCTGGCGTGCCTTTTGGATCTCACCTGAAACTCCAAAACCGTGAACCATTGTTGTGTAAGTAACAACATCCATCACACATTTTCGACGTTTCATCTCCAAGAAGAACTGCCAAGCTTCTTTAATCTGGCCCGCCTTGAAATACCCATTAAGGATTATGTTATACGTCTTGAGAGTTGGCTCGAGACCACTCTCCACCATCTCCCTCAACACCTCCAATGCTCTAGGCGTTCGCTTAATCAAACAAAAACCATTCGCAATGATGTTGTAACTGATTGTATCTGCTTTGAATCTTCTCTTTAAAACCTTAAACAGGTTATAGGCCATTTCAGCTCGTTTAGACTTGCATAATACATCAAGAAATGTATTGAAGCTATTCAAGTCTTGTTGGCAGCCATGTTCGTGCATCGACAAGAACACTCTTACGGCTTTGTCGGGTTTTCCAGCGGATACGTACCGCTCGGTTATGATCGCGAATGTTTTCGGGTTCGGACCGAGCCTTCGTTTCTGCATACGGGCGACGAGCGTCCAGACGGTCTTGTAGTCGCGTAATCGGGCGGCAATGTCGATGGCGTGGTCAAATGAGGTGGTGGAGTGGGTGTAGATGGGATGGCGTTCGAGGAGCCTGAAGAATTCAAGTGCTTTGGGGCCATGGTTCCAAAGGCGTTTTAGGATTTTGTTTACCAGGTCCGTAGTCCAGCAGATAGAGTTGGTTTCTAGATTTTGGCTTAGGGTTTGTGTGTCTAACTTTAGGATGAGGTTGGAAAGGCCGGCGGCATCATCTTCTTCCAGCGGCGGCGGTGAAGGAGGCGTGGTGGTGGTCAGGTTGTGAAACGACGATTTGAATTTTAAGGAAAATACGACAGAGGAGCGATTTGTCGTGTGAAGCCTGCTAACATTTCCGATCATTGTCTCCGACCGACCACCATCTCAGTCGCCTTATTTCTCTTGGAGTATCTGTACGGTAGCAAAAAAAACACCCTCAGGTATAACGAAATTGCAAAAAATTACCTTAGATGGTATTTGGCTTAGCTTTTGAAAGGCAAAAAATCCTTTTTTGTAAAAGTTGGAAAAGTCACGATTACGATTACGTGACTTTTCAAAATGACGTCATTTCCTCTATCGTAAAAGTTGGAAAAGTCACTACTACCAAACATCTTTTTGACTTTTAAAGAAAAATAAAAGTGAAAAATCGTTTTAAAAGCTATACCAAACACCCTCTTAGTCTGGTGCAAAACTTTGCATGTGGCCAAGGATGCAATATGCAGTTTTCTTTCCACATTCTCGAGTTACGCCTATTTACTCAGTAAAGCCAAGAAAAAAGAGGAAGGAAAAAGTGTTAGAAAAGAAAAGGAAGGGAAAAAAATTATAGGATTGTAACCCATCCAATTTTTGGCTATTGATTTAAAAGGTTATTCATGTTTTTTTAGGTTGTTTAAGTGCTTGAACTATGAAAAAGAGTAACAAAACATCATTTTTTTTAATTCAAAGGGATAAGTTGGTAATATCATTGTCATATGATCAACATAAAAAAAATGTCCACATGGCGTTGATGTGGAGCCTATGTGGACAATTTTATAAAATTAATAATATTATTGTTATTATATTTTGATATTTCAATAATTTATTTAGGTGAAAAACATGCATCCTGTTCTTGAAGAGCTTCCACCATCTTTTCAAAAACGTTGAAGGAAAATCCATATTTCAATCTACCATAACCACCATTAATCTCACAAAGCAAGAACCTAAACAAAAAAATGAGTTTTAAAAACAAACAGGAAAATGATATATCAAAAACACCATCAAATGATATGATTTCAAGAACAAAAACCTAGAACATTAACCCAAAAAACTTGGAAGAAAAACCCAACTTCAAGAACAAAAAATGTGCCACCGATACCTTAAAGGAATCAATTCAATGTGTTTTTTAAGGCACAATAGCAGATCTAAAATTGGTTTCTTCTTGAAAAGGCTAGCAGCGAATGTGTATGACAATCGTGGAGGTGATTAGAAGAAGACAAAGGGGAAATCGGGTTTGGTGTTATTTTGCTTTTGATCTGGGTTTGCGTTTGATGTTCCCCAACACTATCGATCTGGAATTGTAATAGTTAGGATTTTTCTAGAATAAAACACCCTTCATCGAAGCTCCTACTCCAAAAAAACCCCTCCATCCAAGCTCCCGTTCCAAAACTTATTCGACGTACTAATGACTTTATCTGGTTTAAAGATTTGATTTGGGTTTTTGAAGATAAAAAAGATAAAGGAATGCTTTGAGGATTAAAAAAATCACAACATCTAGATTGAAGTGGACGAAACAAATGGTTTGTAGTGAAAAAGTAAATAAACTAAAGAATCATTAGGAGCAAACGAATGATTTGAAGCTTATATATAGGCCTTTTGCATTTGATCTAGATTCTTTAAGGTTCATAAAAACTATTAATAATAAAGTTTTAATAAAACAATATTAAATAATGTATTTTTGTTTTGTAAAATATAAAAAATCAATAAGAACCACATATGAAGCCTTAAGCCACATCATCATAGGTTTACCGGTTAAACCGGGATAATATGAACTCATTCTTTTTTTTAATAGGTAAATGATAAGTTTAAGCACTTAAACTACAATATATATATATATATATATATATATATATATATATATATATATATATATATATAAAAGGGACCTTTTAAACTAAAAGCCAAAAGTTGATTGAGTTATAATGACATTAACCCAAAAATTATATGTCGGTTATTTCTAGTTTGAAATGAAGATTAGGAAAAAAAGGCCCTTAAGCCTATTTTCTTTCCAAAAAAAATTAATTTGGGAGGAAAATTAGTATTGAATATCACTTCTTTTTTCTTATCATAAACTCTTTTAGAAAAATAATCTGAGAATAAGATAATTTTTTTTATTTCCGGTTGTCTTCATTTTTTTCCCTTCTCTTCTTAAGTTGGACTTGGAAACAAGATGTTAATTTAAGAAATGGAATGTAACATAAGGAAAGTAAATCGTACAGGTAACATGTTTTTGAGTTTTTTTTAAGAGATGAAAGGGAATGAAATATAAAAGGAATGAAACAAAATAGATACATATTTCATCCGCCCACTTTTGTACGGTTAAGAGGGAAAATTAATTTAGGTTCGTTTACCTCGTGCAAATTTGATGACACGCGGACAAGCTTTAGTGAAATTACAGGATCAAATAATTATCATAAAAAACTCTGATCTCAGTTTCCAGTTTCTAAGAGTTTGCAAGTTACTAATTCATCCTACAAAATTTTAATAAGAATTATTTTTTCTTGAATTATACAAATATCTCTAGTGTTATTATAGCTTTCAAACCACAAAATGTTTTTATTATAATACAATAAGTGAAATACATAAGCAAATACGATCGTAATGTTCAAATATTATTATAAATTATGTATCAACTTAAAACACCATGTTTGTTTTTATACCAAAATAGTCGTGCACAAAAAGCAAATGGGATTTTTTAAAACAAAATAAGCTTTCTTGAAGATATTAAAGGGTTCGTTGCTTATCTATTCAATACAAAAGAATCCCACGAAATCGATTTATCATCAATTTTGTGCACTTATATTTCAGTTTTTAACAAACTTTTAGGTTATGATTGGCATAGTAACTGAAAAGTTAGCTGACAGAAAAACGATTGGTAAAAAATAACCGATAAGTATGATAAGCTACTGAAGATATAAAATAGCATAAAAGTACATTAAGAATAATATGTTTTTTATAATAAACTAAGGGTATACTCGGAAAAAAAAAAGCTCCTAAAAAAACTATTGTCAAAAATAACATAAATAAATAAATAAAAGAAGCTAGATGTGTTGTGCCAAACACAACCTTAACAATTTATGCAACGAGCATCCAAGCAACCAATTAATTAAAATAATACAAAATTTGGGGAGAGATTAATACATAAGATAGTTATATAAATCGATAATAAAGATATACATAAATCAATGAGAAAAGCATAATTCCAGTGCATGTTTAGGGATACGTAAAGAGACAATCAATAGACTTTCTCATTTCCTCGTACCTTCTTCTCTGGGTTTGGGAGTGGCAAGGAAAGACCCCAAGTCAACGAATCATTCCACAGTCACAAAAAGTTATAGGAAGAAATACGGAAAACACCTTCAAATTCTCATATTTGCCCCTTCATAACAACATATCAACAATATCACAGTGATGAATATGAGGCACTTAGGTTAGGGGTATAACAGTCCTTGCCAAACGACCAAATTACCCCACCACAGCTCTCATATACTAATATACTATAAACTGGTCCCACTAGCCAGGCCACCAACAAGAACCTGTGCCAAATGACAAAAATACCCATCACCAAACTTCTCAACAGGAGTACCTGTGGCTGTTAATGTTTATATCATATTCCCACTCGCTTACTAAAGTCAAGATCTGGTTAAATTACATAGATGCCCATATGCCCTTTAATGACACTTTTTAAAGACTTCTAATAGACCAAGTCTTCTCTTTTGCAAACACAAACACACACACACACACAGAAAGAAGACGATGAGAGAAAGTATAGGGGAGAAATCAGGGATCAGCGAATCAGTGATCATAAAAGCTTCTTCTTTATCAATCAAATCACACAAATCCAACGGCTATATCAAGGAATCCGGTCCCGATGAAACCATTTTCGCCTTCACCGGATCATGGTCCGTTCAAGATTTTTACAGCCGGGACCCGTTTGGCGAAACCAAGATCGATCTTTCACACTTTCCATCACTAAAAAGCATCGGAAACAACGAACTCGCCAAAATCAATCAAGGATTCTTCCAAAGATTCCAATCCCTCTTTCAAACACCATCTTTCAAGTCTGAGGTAATCCTCTTCATTTCTCTCTTTCAGTTTAACAAGGGCATCTACGTCTTTTACACAAAGATGTACCTTGTCCCACCTTAGTTACCGCTCAGTCTCAATCCCAGTACAACCTGTTCTGTTCTGTTTTCTGTCTCTTATACAAAATCATTATTTTTGTGCAGGTAGAGAGAGCGGTGAAGAAAGAGAAACCCATAATCTTCACCGGACATTCTTCCGGCGGTCCCGTGGCCATACTGGCGGCGGTTTGGTACCTTGAGAAATACACGCGATCCAACGGTCGGCCGCCCTGTAAATGTTTAACTTTCGGGTCACCTCTCGTAGGTGACCGAATATTCACACACGCCTTAAATCGAGAAAATTGGGCGCGTTTCTTCCTCTATTTTGTCGGGAGGTACGACATTGTTCCTAGGATAACACTCGCCCCGTTCTCCTCCCTCAAAAACGAATTCGGTCACATTCTCGATTTCTTCAATCCCAAATCCAGAAACTTCCGGAAGCATTCAATTCCGGGGTCACAAGAAGCTTTGACTTTTTACAAAACGGTTTTAAAGAATTCATCGTCTGTTGCGAGTCATGCTGCTTGTAATCTCATGGGAAGTACAAACTCATTACTTGAAGTGATCTCGAGTTTTGTTGAGCTTAGTCCTTACAGACCTTCCGGAACGTATGTTTTTTGTAGCGGGAATGGGAAATTGATTTGTGTTTCGAATCCGAATGCAGTTCTTCAGATTCTGTTTTATTGTTGCCAGCCTGGCAGTGAAGCGGAAGTTATGGATGCAGTAAGTAGAAGCTTAAACATGGATTATAATGATGAATTGGAAGAGAGCTTATTAGGGATGCAAGATGTTGTGTACCTTGATGATGATATGGAGATTCCAATGTCTTCCAATGATAATGGTTCTGGTGACACTGACACGGCTACCATAAACGCAGCTTTAAAGGACCTTGGTCTGGTGAGTATTGGTGAAGGATAATGCTTTATAAAGATGTAATTTTTAGGGTTGAAGTATGATGCTATAATACACAAATGAATGCAAGTACATTGATATTTCTTACATTTCGCCCTAATTTTACGACTTACGAGTTATAATCTTTATCTTCAGAGCACAAGGGCAAGGCTATGTCTTCAAGCAGCACAAGCGTTTGAAAAGCAAAAGCTACAAAACCAAAATACAATTGATTCCAAGAAACCCCAGATCAGGAAAACACTCAAGATAATAGCTGACTACCAAAAAACGAGTGAAGACCGAAAGATTGGTTATTATGATGCTTTCAAGATTCAAAAGGGTAATGATGACTTCAATGCAAATGTAACAAGGCTAGAACTAGCAGGTATATGGGATGAGATTGTGGAGATGTTGAAACGTTATGAACTCCCGGATGGATTTGAGAGTGAGGAAGAGTGGATCAAGTTAGGAACCGAGTTCAGGAGACTGGTGGAGCCATTAGACATAGCTAATTACTATAGGCACTCAAAGGATGAAGACACCGGGACTTATTTGAGAGATGGGGGTAGACCAAAGCGTTATAAGTACACTCAAAGATGGTGGGAGCATGAAAAGAAGTTGAATGAAGGGTCGAGCTCAGAGACCATTTTTTGGGCAAAAGTAGAGGAGATGAAAAGGAAACCATTTGAAGAGATAAAGGACCAAATTGTTGCTATGGAGAAACAAGTCAAAGAATGGGTTCAGAAAGAAGAACTGAACAAGGATGTGTTCCTGGAAAAATCTACTTTTGTTAAATGGTGGAAAACGCTCCCTGAGAAGCATAGATCGGAATCTTGCCTGAAATTTCACTTCCAGAATTCCACATAGTGAAAACAAACATGTTTTATAAAGAAAGAGGACCACTTCCATCTACAATAAGCAAGTAATAGTTATCTTGTGTACCCTACCCCTATCCCTACCCTGTAATGGTGTCTATGTCATTTGTCATGTATCTCTTTCGTTCCAATAAATACATTCATCCACATTGTAATATTATGTATTTATTCATACATAATACATACATAAATAACATGGAAAGCTTCAAGATTCCTTATTATACTGCTAATGATCATTGAATAAGGTTTAAAGATGCCCTCTATAAATTTCAATCAAAACGTTTGTATTCAATATCCATACCAACTAGTCCTCTATAGAATCATATTGCTATAAAAATGGTTCGACCGATAAGAGAACTGCATAACTATTAACAGCAGTTTCTAACAGTAAAGAGACAAGAAAGATGTGAAAAAAGAGGTCATCATACATACTTTTCTAACGCCTAGGGATCATGCTGTAAGAACGGCCCATTTTTGAAGATAGATTACCCGGGCCATGGTGGTCATACTGTTTCCTGCATCCTGGACAACGGCCATCATCTTCAAGAATTCTCTTGTGGCAGAAAAGACAGAGCCTGTAGCCACATGGACAAGGAAGAAAACTTGTGTCTGTCAAGTCCAGATCTTCACAGCATATAGGACACGTTGATGGTGAACAAACATTCTTGAAACATGGAAAGCTGTTTTGTTTTAGTAAGTTTGGCAGACTCTGAGGTCGAAAAACATCATCTGCTCTCCAAGCTCGAGCACAGCAATCATCTTGACTTGCCTCCATGGTTGCTGTCACAGAATCTGGCTCAGGGGATTCAAGATTATTATTTTTAATTTCATCAGCTGCTAAAGCATCGGCAATGGCTTCCCAATCATCCAAGCACTCATCTTCTTCATTCATGTTTTCTGAACAACAACCTCCACTGCTACTACTGCTGCTGCTGCTATTGCTGGTAAAATGAGAAGGTGATCTGTTACTCCCGAAAACACTGCTCATCGGACTGTTAAATGGTGACTCGGAATCACTGCAAAGATTCATCAAACCCTCATTCTCTTCACCACTGGGATTAATATCATTCCGTTCAGCAGGCATTTTCACACCACTAACACCGCTGGTTTCTTCCTTGCATCCTTTGTTCTTCACTGTAAAACAATTCAGCGAACTGGTTGTTAAAGAATACGTGTAACCTAAATTATGAAAACCAAATAATTCCAATCTATGCAAATGTTATATACTTAAACACAAATAGGAAGAGAGTTGAATCACCTTGGGAAAGCCACTGTTCACGACGAACATCAAGTTTGCTCTGCTTCAATTTGGCTGTTCTGTTCACCTTCAAACCCAAACAAAAATTCACAATTACTCAAACGAATATACAAAAAACACTTTTCAAGACTATCCTCCAATATCCATAAAATATAATCAACGAAAACGACAAGATCCACATAAATTTACCCTCTTTTTCTTGCCAAATTCCTTGGCGTTTGATGCCGCAATCGGGATCGAATCGTAACCCATCGCTGAAAATTATGTCAAAGAAAACCTAAAGATATACAAATCTATACTATCCAAAGCGTATGCAAAATATCTCCGAAATCAAGATATGTATAAAAAGAGTTTTAGATATTTATGAACAAGTAAATTGCGTTTTTACGTGGATAAATAACGGAAACTGCTTTGCCTCGTTCGCCCCTCTTTCACTGTTCACGGAAACATCTGGAGCTGAATAAATAATAATACTATAATTGCCGTTTTTACAGTTATGCCCTTCTCATTGTTACTAATTTTCTGGACTTGCCATCAACGTGAAAGAAAACTATTGGTTGTCACATAAAAGCTAGACGTTGTCGTTTCGATAAGTTAAAGGATGCCTTTAATCCAAAATATCCGCCGGCCTAATTTGTGTAACTAAATGCATACAATTAGGTTACATTGTTGTACGTGGTTGGTTCATGTTGTCTTTTTCATTAATTTATTTTTATAAATTATTTAAAAGCTTTTAGAATGATTATTAACTTATTTGTACTAAGAATTAAACTGACATTTCTATTATTGTACAATAGTATTATATGACCAATATAATGTCAATGATCTTCTAATTATAGCCCATCATCGTAAGTACAATAAAATATTCTTTCGAAAATGGTCTCCGAAAATAAATCAATTACTTTATATTTTTTTAATAATTATATTAATTAATATTGATATTTGTTCTTTAATATATTTATATTATTAATAGTTCTTAAAATTATCGTATAAATAAAAATGTAGTTTTATTTATATTTTGATTAAAGTTTGAATATTATTTTTAAAAGGATATCCAAATCAACTTGCTGTCTATCTATATATTTTAAAGTTGACTCATGTATCACACTAAAATTACCAATGAATGCCCGGAGCCTCATTTTGCCACACTGTGTTTTTATCATAAAAAAAAGTATGGTTTGTTGTCATATCTAAGGAGTGGTGTCATATTTTAGTTTTTTTTAATGAAGAAAAACTTTATTTCTAAAAAAGATATATTTCATTAATTAAAAATAAAAGTACCATTACATTGTGTAAAAAAAAAAAAAAAACTCCCACATCAAACAATTAAAAACTAGAAATTAAAAACGATTCACGTAACGTTTTTTGACGTCCTCCTTCATCGCCAAAAGAACTTGAAGCTCATCCTCGGTCAATTTCGATGTGTCCATCGCTAGCACTCTCATGTCGTTGTCCCTTTGTTTCTAAGTCTCTCTATTCGAAGCAAGTTGGAAAAAAATTATCCATTCTATCTCTTTATGCCTTGCACATTGTCGTCCATTTCTTTCAAGGCATCCGACTCCGAATTTTTGCCCTTGTCTTTGCTTTTTGTTTTGTCCCTTCCCATCGGTTTGGGGGGGGGGACACTTGAATGGGCTCATCATCGTTTGAGGTCAAAACCAACACGAGCATCGGATGTACTGTGATCGGATTCGGAAGTTCTTGACCGTTTTAAGCCACTATCGATGTGTCCGTCGCTTGTTTTTTATTTTGCTTTTTTTGTTGCTTTTGACTATACTCCAAAATTCAAAAAAATTGAAAGGCTTATTTTGCTCTTTTTGGTAAATGTTAAAAGTTTTCTCCATAATCACATCGTCACTTTCGCTGCTTTTCCATTGTTGTTTCATGTTGTTATACAAATCGTTAAACAACATGATTTCTTTGTTTATCTTTTCCCGTTTCAAGTAGACTTGATCTTTATAACGATATGGTGGTGGGTTCATTCCTTTGTGGAACATAGTTCTAACACTCATCTAAATACGGTCATGTTTTTGGTCCGCTCCCGTTATTGGATCTTCTGAAACGTCAATCCATGATTGTATCAATGCTAACACTTCTTGAGGTTCCCATATTTTAGCATCCGTCTTCTCTTTTCTTTTATTTTGTGGTCGAGCAGGTTGAGTTTCTTGAACAAATTCGGGTTCGGATTCGGAAATGGGTGTTTGTGGTTGTGATTGTGTTTGTGGAACAAATTCAGGTTGAGTAACAAAATCAAAAAGATCAAAATTTGGGTCAAGTTGTACTTGTGTTTATGGAAGTGGTTCTATAGGTCGTTGTGGTTGTGAGATATGTTGTGGATAATAGGGAAGCATATTGTCGTAGTGGTAAAAAGGAGGCGAATAAATCGGTTGATCGTATGAAAGTCTTGGGATTGTGGTGTTTCTAGTGGGTGTTTTTTGGTTGGTAGGCTTTTTGGAGGATGACATTTTCAAAGGTTTTGGATACAAAATAGGGTAAAATATGAAGTGTTTGTGAGTTAGTTTGGTTTAAAATGTTATATATTTATAGAGTTGGTAACATTAAATAAAAAATAAATAAATAATAATAATTTTGAATTTTATTATCGTTCTAAACGGTCGAAAAACAGTCGGGCAATCAACAAACGCGTACTGCCGAAGTGCGGCCCTAGCCGCACCCTAACCGCAGTCAAGGGCCGGTGTTTCGGCTCACGTGGCATCGGAAGTGCGGTAGAGGCCGCAGTCACTCCCAACGGTCTAATTAAAACTACGAACATGCAACTAACTCTCCAAGATCTTTTCAATTTAAAGATAACTAGATAATTCCTTATTTTATTTGATAATTATAGTAGTTAATTTTTTTTATAAAGAATAACTATTTTGATTCATGATAGATTCTTATCAAATACTCTAAATTAGTTATTGCTATAAATTTCAATTCGTAATAACTAGATTAAACACACATTTGCATACGACAAATTGATTTTTTATCTTCTCGTGTTTGCCACATAATTATTCATGATAGATTCTTATCAAATACTTTAAATTAGTTATTGCTATAAATTTCAATTCGTAATAACTAGATTAAACACACATTTGCATACTACAAATTGATTTTTTATCTTCTCGTGTTCGCCACATAAAATACATAGAGTTACATCAACCTTTTTATCAACTAAACTGGCCTTAGTTGTTAACCGGTGAAGATTAACCCTTCGGACTTAAACCTATAGGAGTAAGTATTATGGAACTAGATTGTTCCAATGTGTCCTTCCATCTCCAACCTAAAAACATCAATCATTTATCTAGTCGACTAGATCAAATAAGCTCCAAAATCATCTAACTCTCAAACCCACTCATTGTCTTCATCCACATCGCCAATGCCAACCCCAAGCACCATGATCAAACCGATGACTCACCACACAACCTCCATCAACTGAAAGTGGGAAAAAAATATAGGAAACATGTTCTGAAAAGAACAAATATCAATTCAAACATCCTCTCAAAACATAGTAGAATTGAGAATTCTCATTGCCAACCTTCTAACAAAAAAACACCTCAAAATCAACATTTTATATTAAAGATACTTAAAAGAATCAACAATGTTGGTCCTAACCCCTTTGAATTTAAGTCTATTTTGAACCCTCCCCAAGGCCTCCTATATGTTTGTGAATCACGAAGACAGTAGAAAGACCATATAATAGTCGGATTACTTAACAATCTATGCTTAATCCTCCCTCTTGTTTAGGCGCTAAAATTTTCTTCCACTTATTCTAAAATCTCAAGTATTGATTTTTTAAGTATTACAACTTTGATGATTTTTTTTAATGTTTTTGAAATTGTTTTCACTAGTTGCATTTGGTTCAAAAGCTTTCCCACTTCGATTTCAGTTTCGAAAACATGAAAATCTGGCAACAACTTGGTTCATAGTTCTAACTAGCATCAATGTAACATCTTAATACAACTAAGGTACCTCCTAAAAAATTTCTTTTAAGTAATATCTAAAATCATTATGACATGTATACTTATGAAATAACATGACTAACATCGCTTACGGGGACATTTAAAACCTCTCGGTCAAATGCACATGTTCTGTCCTATTTTGTCTTGTCCTGAATACCTTCCAAATGTACCAAACATGTTCCAACTTCATAATAAGATATAAAGATTAAACAGGCTGCAACAAACAATGCCATGTAAACCATCCACCATTCAAAACTAAACATTAAAGCTACATTTACAGTTAACAACAGTCTAAGTCAAAATTCCCTAAAACGAACAAAAGACTCAACAACACAACAATGGCTGCAACTTAATAAACATTAACCAACTTAAGTTATCGACCTCAAAGGATCTAAATTCTGTCTTTAAATGATACCCTTCCAACCAGAGTTGAATCGCCAATAACTGTTAAATCTTGTATCTATATACGTATTTGCTTCTTCCTCTCACTCAGAGATTCATTGTCACCATTTTATATAAGCTGCATAAAAAAAAAAAAAGAACCAGAAAGAGGTCATCATGTTTACATAATGGACCTTTGCAAATTTTGCCACATTTTGGGACTAGACAAGCTTTGTAGGCTATTTTTGATGATGAAAATGAGGAGGGCATTTACGTCTTTTGCACAGACAACAGATTCTCTGTTCCACCTTGTCCCAGTAGGACCAAAAATTGCAATTTATGTCTCGTTGACAGCAGTATGGGTCCTATGCAGGCTAAACCTGGTACAATTTGTTCTGTCGTATCATGTCATGTCTTGTTCGGTGTAACAAATGGGGTCTACAGTTTGCAAGAACAAGTGATTTTGGACAAATTTTGAAAATGTATAGATTCATTTTTCCCTCCGAAATCCTTTTTTTACATTTTGCAAGAAATATGATTTATCGCTCTGCATAAAAAGTCGACCACTTTATAAATTGGTGGTAATTTAGAAAATATTGATAATGGTTAATCTAAATGCTTGTATATGTAGATATAACACCAACCTGTTTAGCAACCTTTTCTAGGTATGTCTCCTCTTTAGTTGACTCTTCTATTGAGATGACTTTCTCATTCTCTCCTTGAGTTGACTCTTGTATTGACTTGACTTTCTCAGTCTCCTCTTGAGTTGACTTTTCTGTTGCGATGACTTTCTCAGTCTCCAAAAGGGCATTTCCGTCCTCTTTTTTCTTCTTCTTCATGTTGTCACCTAAGTGACTTCCATTGGTGCTGAATGTGCCACGTTTCCTCTTCCTTTGGAACGTGTACTTGATAACTCTACCACTTATTGTATGAATAGGAACCCCAACCCCGCCAGTCTCAACAGCCTTCAACTCCGGGGCATCAACCGGAGCTTCTGAGGTTGGGGGCAATTCAGTCTTTTCACATTCCATAGGTAGAAGTTCCTCTCTTAATCTTCTATGAACGTCGCTTACTCTTACCAAATCCAAAACGGTATTAATACTTTCACCAGAACCTTCCCATAAACACTTAGCTGACTTTGCCATGGTTGAATACGAACTCTCAGTCACATGATCAATCTCATCAACTTGATCCAACGGTTGAGATCTCTTTTTCCCATCTGGACTCGCTCTTTTCCTGTCCTTTTTTCTTTCATCCCCAAGGGAGGGCTCTTTATGTAATTTCTCACTTTCTTCATCCATTTCAGTAATCAAATCAGGCTTAAGGACATTTGTTTGTTCATATAGGGTCCCTTCACATGCATGAATTCTATGAGAACAACCGCTTCTGTATAACTTCCTTGCTTTGCTTCTTGAGATTATAGCCGGTAAATTTTGGTCATTAACATAAGACTTCCAAAAAGGAATTAAAGAATTATACAAGGTCTGGCCTGTGTTACTCTCATCTTTATCAGAATTCCAAACATCAGAAGTTGGAATGGAATCAGGGTTAACTGCATTTTTTGGTTTGGTCCTCTCTAATTCAGCATGCATGAAACTTAACTCTTCTCTGAGGTCTTTCACTATGTCCTCAGCTTCTTGGACTTGTGCTTCTAGTTCTTCAATTTTCTTCTGTTGGATTTGGGATACCATTTCCGCTTCATTAATCTGAAAATTTGTCAGATTAGTTTGTATATTGTGATAATAACTCGATGAAAGTGTATAATAAGAGCACATAGTTCTTCAACGTACAATAAAAAAATAAAAACATTTTTTCAGGTTAACGAGTTATAAAAAAGGTTAAAATACTGAAAAGCACAACATACTTGGTGTTTTTTTGTTGTACTTTTCCCTCTTATCAAAACCTAGTAACCTGGAAAAGTGGGTTTTTATTTACATAATCAAAAAAAGTATAATAGTTTAATCACTATAGAAAATGATTAAGTGGCTAAACCGACAAAATGGTGAAAGTACAAAAAAAATTCTATAGTCTGCCTTTATGATAACAATGGAACTTTTTCCAATTCTAGTTTGAGTTGTTAATGTTTATGTAACCATTCCACAAGTGTATAGGTAAAGCAAAAGGAGTATTTCTTATAGAATGTTTACATTCAAGTTAAGGATCAATGATATTTAATTGTTTATAGTTTCCATCTTCATCGTTCTTGATATCTCCTACATACCACATTTGGTCTGTTTTACCTAATCTTTACAGATATATAGCACATTTGAGGAAAGTGAAGTTGCATTTGTTTCTAAATCGCACATGTGATATCAAATGATAAACGACATATTAGTGAAACGTTTAAGGGAAGATAACTTAGTAGATTCCCTAATGTATATTGTAACAACATCAAAGATAGCATTCACATAGATGATTTTAAATAACCATATGTTATCTTTGATACCCACTTATGTTGTTTAAGATTTCTCGTAAGATACCAAAATAGTGAAGCTATTGTTGACCACAAACAACCCTACTTGCATCCAACAAAACACGATCCCTTCACGCCAATCAACAAGTAAATTTAGATCATTCGTTACATAATTAGAAAAAACCCAGAAAGAATGAAAACCCTCTAATTAAATTGCATTGAAGTGACGAATGCTTGAGCAACAATGGAAACAAAAATAGCTCAAAGACTTCATAGCACAAAGCTGCAACAACCAGAGCTCAGAGCAACATATTCTAAATAACAACACCCGAATCAATTAAGAAGGCATATCTCCATGATAATGATGACTAGGAATATAAATCACAGCCCTAAACTTTCTGAGAGACCCAATTTAGCTAAACCCTTAGTATGCAAATGTCGACTCAAGCTCCATACAGGACTAATATTTCTAAAAAGAAACAAAAGTATGCAAGAAAATCTAGATGCAGAAACATCAAAATCAAAAGTTTATCAAATCAAATAACCTAAAGATTACAAACCCTAATAAAAGGAAATCTCCGCTTATCGCATACGGGGAAAAAGGCAGAATTTTAAATTTTGGTCAGTATACCTTCAAATCCATATTCTGTTTCAAGGCAACGAGTGTGAAGTATAAGTAATTAAAAAAAATATCACTTCCACTATCCAGCACTTCATATTAAGGGTACATTTAATGCTATCTCTCATTCGTATAATTTATCTTTTGATAGATTAGTAGATATACACACTTTCTATAAATTGTTATTAATGGTTAGAATGTGATTGCTATTAAGTATATCTCATGCCAATACAGTTGCTACCTTGCCACCTATCAAATATTCGAAGTTTAATGCTCATGTAGTATGTTGTTACTTTCTTTGGCATGTAAAACTAATACCGTTGGTTCCAGTTTTGGTGTAAAAGTATGCATGTCTCATCATGTTATACACATATACATCCTTAAAGTGCATATGTGTAGTAATGGCTTAACTATTTCTAGTCATTTAGAAAACAATTGAACTTTTGACAATTATAGTGTGAGTTAATGTTGCAAAAAAAGTTATTCTTCCAGCAATCCCTACACTGGCTCACAACGCCCTGTCCCTTGAGCATCATGTAAGATATTAATCAGATTAACAGCTGCCCACTAGGTGACTGACATCTGAGCCCAGTGCCCACAAGGCCACAAAGAGCCCATATATAACCAATCCTGCAAGCATACCACCCTGGAACCAGCTTTGCTATGCCCAAGGGAATAATTTTATTTGTAAGTGTCTGTGTGAACGTATTCAGAAGTTGTTCAAGCTTAAGGCCAAACCAAAAGGAGTATTTTTTTTCTATTGAAAAAGTTACGTTCAAGGTAAGAATCAAGTGAATTTGATAGTTTCCCTTTTAATCATTCATGGTATCTCCCTACATACCATATGTGTTTCCAGCTAAGGAAGACACCCCACTTGCATTATCAAATGATAAACAACAAAATAGTGAGAAACATTTTGAAGAAAGACAACTTAGTAGATGCCCTATGCAGCTATGCTGCATCATAACGCGTCAAATAAAGCATTCACACAGTATGATTTTAAATAAACATACATAATCTTTAATACGCAAAATAATGAAACTATTGTTGATCTCAAACAACCCTAGTTGAAATCAACCAAACATAATCCCTCCAAGTCAATTGACGAGTAAATTCAGATCATTTGTTGCATAAATAGAAAACCCCAAAAAAGAATGCAAAGTGTTAACCGAACTGCATTGAAGTGGCAAATGCTTGAGCAACAACAGAAACAAAAATAGCTTAAAGACTTCATACCACAAAGTTGCAACAACAAGAACCAAGAGTAACACACATTCCTAATAACAACATTTGAATCAATCAACATGGTGTCTCTTTTTGATGATGATGAGCTAAGAAACAAAAAGACAACCCTAAAATTGCAGACGGGTTCAAATGACTAAACCCTTAGTACGCAGAAATCAACTCAAAGTTCAAAACATAGCTGAAATTTTTTAAAAAGCAACACAAATATGCACGAAAACCTAGATGAGAATTCATCAAGATCACAATTTTATCGGATCAACTAACCTAAAAACAAGAAACCACAAAAAAGGAAAACCCAACTCATAGCATATGCGGAAAGGCAGAATTTTAGATTTTTATCGTTATACCTTCGAATCCATCATCTGTTTAAGTCGCGTAAGCATCTGAAGAGCGTTTTCCTTGGATTCTTTGAGCTCGAATTCTAACCGATAAGCTTTCCGTTCCGATATCATAATCCTCCCCGCTGCCTCTTTCACTGTATTAAGTATCATATCCGCATACGCCTTCTTCAATTCCGTCAACTTCTACAACAATCAGACACCAAAACAAAAAACATCAGAATGTAATTAAAGACGATCAACCCCGATTCCTCTTCTAAACACAAAATCAACAACTCAATTCAAAGGGAAAACCCGTAAAAAAAATCAGGCGAGTTTTTTAGTGGTGATTGTGGCTTCCGCCATCATCCTGGCGGTGTAAAAGATAACGACAATGCGTATCGGAAGTTTACCTCATCGGCGTCCATCGTTAGAAACTTAGAACAATCGAAGAGAAAATTTTGGGGTTTTTAGACCCTAGGGAGTTTGTTTTGTCTCTTTGTAAGCAGCTGTCTGTTATGAACTTCAATTTCAGTTGCCCTTGTGACGGTTTTACCCCTTGTCTTTTAAGAATTACCGGTTCTACCACTATTTGAAACCGTTACATTCTATTTCTGGGCGCCGCAAACATGGTTTTTAATGACGTGGCAGAAAATTGAGGTTTGCCACGGTGGAAAACCGACACGTGGTTAAATCGCCTGTGTAGAAAGTATCCCAAAAAGATTATAAAACGATAAATATGAAATATTGAAATGTAATATTTTCTGAATCCCAAATAAAATAACGATACATTTTATTTTGATTTGACTTTTCAGTTTATATCATTATTAATTAGTATTTATTATAGAATCCTTACAAGATTTCATTATATTCCATAAATTCTTGTAATTAAAAGATATTTTAGATACAGTTATTACAACCTTGATTATATTATTTTATTTTAGATTTAGATATAATGGCAAAAATAGTGATGTTAGGTGGACGGTTTTAATAACATTAAAACTTCTAACTTAGCTAAATTAGTGTTGTGCTTATTTAAGGTTGAGAGTCAGATCGAGTCTTGAACCTACTTCAAAGTAGGAGAAAATAACTACTTTCTTTCATATGTAAACCTAAACGCTTTGCTCTCATGCCCCCACCTACGAATGGGTGTACGGAGGTCCGTCGGCAGAAAAGACGATTGTTCGTGATAACAGTAAATATTTAACAAATCTCTTCATTGTTGGCTTCCAAATGGAACTAGTAAGTCGGAACTTTGGAGGACGTTTGACAAGTACGGTAGAGTTATCGATGTGTATCTGGGGAGAAGGAAAGGCTACAGAGGAGAGTACTATGCATTCGTTAGATTCACAGGTGTAACAGATGCGAAATAATTGGAGGAGAAGCTTCAAGAGCTAACATGCATGAACGTGACCCTCAATATTAAACTATTCAAACACCAAAGGAAAACCATAAAGGCCCTGAATACCTTTGTATCACAAAAACATCATAATCAGGTTGTACACTCAACCATCCCCACGTCTATTATGAGAGATAATAGAACCTATGCCTAAGTCATCTCCAATATCAACTCATAGTCCTCTAAGCATCCAACCCCTCCGATTAGCTTAAACCCAAACACAACCATGAAAGCCTGGTTGACCAACAGTGTATTGATTGGTGAAGCCCACACTTTCAATCACATTAGCAATTTACCGGTGTCAATCTTAATGGACGAAAATACCAAATACTTGGGCGGACTTAACATTATCTTAAGATTCAGTAATTCAGTAGAAGCAAATGAATTCCTAACAAAAAAAAACAGATGGAATAACTAGTTTAAATGGTTAGTATGTGTTGATCAACAAGTACCTAAGTATGAAAAAACGGCGTGGATCAAGATATTAGGACTACCTCTAAAACTATGGGATGAAGATAATTTCTCAATGATAACCAGAAGATTTGGTAGATTGGTTTATCCCTTTAACAACATCTTCACCAAAAGGGGTTATTCTATGGGGAAGGTCGGATTCTTTACCTCACGACGTACATGGATAAATGAAACAGTTCAGGTGACCGTGGAAGGAAAAACATACTCAGTGGGTATTGTTGAATATACAGATGATTGGTCCCCAATTCACCCGGCTCCTTTTGATAAAGTAGAAGAGGATTCAGAAGAAGATGATATCGACGGTGATGAAGACGAAGACGAAGAAAGTGAGACCGGAGGTGTTTCAGAGACTTAGATGGAGAAGGAGAAGAACGACATGGAGGAAGGCGAGATTCGTCCTGAGTCACCGGGAAAAAAAAACGTTGGTAACGGAAAGTGCAGTGATCAATCGGAAACAACCTCTTAGACGGATGAGACAACCGAGGCAATATTTAATGCACCCATTAATAATTTGATACTTCCCAATAATATAGAAACGGTTGAAATTCCCAAGAAGGAAATTGGTGTAAATACTTATGTAACCCTCCATGCGTTGAAAAGTCAACAAATACTAAGGATTCTTCTACTAGGCCCATTACGCCGACATTTGGGATATATCAGAATACCAACTCATCCGGCCATGATATAATCTACCATTTGGATGCTTCGGGCCCTTTCCAACTACTCACCCTACCCAATTTAGCTCCCAAGCCCACTCTCCTGAAGCCACTCAACACATTGCCTCTAACAATGGAGGGCATGTAATTAAAAAGATGAAATGCAATAAATTTGGTAATCGATCCCCATCCCTCTCCTCTTTCAACAACTCTCAAACAAACACAATCAACCCCCTCCCCTCACCCAAAAAGGAAAAAATATATCATTCCCTCAACGTATCGAGAACCCACCCTTGGATCTTAATCGAAACCCAGATGACGATCCATCTCATAATAGCGGAAAGGAAAAAATCACTAAACGAAGCAACTGCAAAATCATAAAAATTGCAGAGATCGGGGCTGAGGTGGGATTTCAGATCGACGCATCCAATCAAATCATTGGGCAAATCATTGGAGAAAATGGTGTACATACATGTGTCAAATGAATTGTCTCTCACTAAATATCATAGGAATAGGGGAGGATGTGAAAGTTACATGGGAAAGGAGACCAAAGACTCAACACAAAAGCAACTTCATAAGGTTACAGGAAACACAACTTATTGATTACTCTAAAGTAGATTGTAACGTCCCAGAAATAAGACCCGAAATTTTTTCATTTTTAGATTGATAAAATAGTAAACCATATCATTGTCATAAAACCAAGGTAAACAAATTGTATCAATACATCACCAATCATAAGAGTAAATCACAAAACGCGGAATTGAGTGGTGTGTGCTCTACAATTATCATGGGCTCTTCCCTTTGGAACCAGAAGTACCTGAAACATAAACTGAAAACCGTAAGCACAAAGCTTAGTGAGTTCCCCAAAATACCACATATCGTACATAAACAAACACATAACGGGCCCCGCCCAACATACAAATCATATAAGTATATACACATACAAGAGTCACACAGACATCTAGTATCCTAGCAGAACTGATCATGGGCCGACATTGGTGCCTTAGACCTGCTAAACATGGTGAGGAAACTCACCTCGAACTGCTAAATCTCGCAGAAAGAATCCTTGGCTGATGTCCCACTAAAATCCTCGCGCTATCAAAAAATAACATCCAATTAATATTTGGATCCCAACTCACATTAAGAGTCCAAACTAGGGTAAAAGTCATTTTTACCCTTTCCCTAAACTTGGCCCAAGGCCAAAGCCCAAACCAAAAGTCCAAAAAGCCCAAATTCTAAAATAATCATCCAAGGCACAATATGGCCCAAACTAACTAGGCTAACTAAGACCCAACTTACTAGGCCCACTAAGGCCCAAAAAGCACCAAACTAATGGGCCCTAAGGCCTAAAAGCTCAAAGGTAATCCTAAAGTGGTCAAATTACCAAAGTGCCCCTTCTGAGTCAAAATAGTTGACTAAGGCCCACTTGGTCAAAAAGTCAACGGTCGGAATTGGGTCAAAGGTCAACATTGGTCAACAGGCTGAGTACGCCCAACATACAACCCAAAACAGGACTGGGGACCCAAATGAGTACGCGTTGCGTACTCAGGAGTACGCCCCGTGTAATTCGTCTAAACCAAAACTCTTACCCAAGGGCTTAATCTCTTAAGCCTTCACGTCCAAAGGCAGATCTAGGTCTTAAATAGCGTCCTTAACCGTAAAGTTTCCAACTTTATGGTTTTGCATGGCTATTAAGAGTTTTACACCAAAAACCCCAACTTCTTAATCCATAAAGACACTATAGCTCATGCATGGAGGAAAACTAACGTCCAAGGTCCCATTTTTATGAATTTGGATCCATCAAGACGTCTGAAAGGACAGCCCAAAGGGTCTGTAGTAACCCATACTCACCAAGACCAAAGTTTGGGGACAAAAGAAGCATAAGACCATAACATGAAGAGATATAAGAATTCAAAGATCAAGGTTGATACTTTATACCTTTTTGCAACTGAGAAAGGTGCCTAGTCTCTGGATCCACAAGCTCAAGCTCCAACAAAGCTTATTCACCAACTCCTTCTTCTACCAAAGGCACCAACTAACCAAGGGTATAGCCCAAAAAGGTCAAGAAACTCAAAGATGCTATTAGGGTTCGAGATTAGGGTTTTAGGACAATGAAGGCTGATAAAGAGGCCAACCCTTGGGACTTAAGGTGATTATATAGGGTTTGAACCCTAAAAATTAGGGTGTTGGGTCTGAGCATGTACGCTATGTGTACATCCTTGTACGCCATGCGTACGTGCATGGCTCCACGTCCCACTTAACTTATCTACACCCTGCGTACACAAGGATGTACGCCCAACGTATGACCTTGTCTTAGCCCAAAATGACAAAGTCCAATCCACTCCAAAAGCCCAAAACATAATTACATAAACAACCTAATAAATAAATAATACCTTATAAATTCCAGATGTTACATAGACGTGAAAGGATGTTGGGATTCAGAAGAGTTTGACTATGAAGGAGTAAATTCGAGTGGGAGATCAGGTGGCCTACTGTATATTTAGGATATGAGGTACTTCCAAAAAACTGAAGTAATAAAATTGAGAACCTTATTGATTTTAATTGGAACATTGATTGGAGTTCCTGGAAAAACGATTTTTGAAAATATCTATAGACCTCACAATCTTACAGATAAGAAGAAAATGTGGGTTGACTTACTGTTACACTCTGTTTCGAGTCGTTTCATAATTCGGGGTCGTGACCCGAAGATCAAGTATCATAAGGCTACGGGATTTGGGGAAAGAGAGATTTAGACCTATTTGGAAGTGGGTAATGTAGACTATATGATCCAAGAGTTTGGTTTGTGCTTTGGAGCCCAAGGGCATAATGGTAAAAGTGATGCTTCAGGCCTTTTCTTTGAATTAAGGATTTTATTCCGATATGTTTTAAGTCAAAAGTAAATATATAGAGTTGTAAAGCTCCTCAATACCTTTCTGTGGATATAAACATCGTCGAAAACGGAGTTGGAACGAAGAAGTTATGATCGTTAGAAGTTAGGAAGGTTTTGGACTTAGTCTAGTACGTTGGGCGTACAGGAAGTAAGATGGGCGTACTAGGGCATCCCTGGTACGTTGGGCGTACGCGAATAGTGCTTAAACCCTATTTTCGTGGTTTGAGCCATATTTAAGCTCCTTAACTTCCCCAAACCCATTCCATTCTCAACATCCACCTCTCCAACACCCTCCATTGAAAACCCTAACCCTAGTTTGAGCCTTTTGAGCAAATGAAACATCCCAAAATTCATGACCAAAAATTTCATTTTTAAATCATAATTAAACCATAGTTATTAAAATCATCTTATCAAAACATAAGTCATAGTATCTCAAAACATCATAAACGGTATATCCAAATCAAAATATATGTCAAATATATCAGAGTAAACATCCCAGGCTAAAACATCATGGTGTGTGCAATGCAGTCATCCCGAGCTCTTCCCTTTGCTACTGGAAGCACCTGAAACCAAAAATGAAAACTGTAAGCACGAAGCTTAGTTAGTTTCCCCAAACTACCACATACCATACACATAATCACATATAAACATATCGTGGGCCCTGCCCGGCATCGGACAGTGTCCGGCATCGAGCAAAGCTCGGTATACATATAAACATATCAACAAATACACATAGAATAATCACGTAACATAAGCATATAAACATTCCTCGGGCCCCGCCCGACATCGGACCGTAATCCGGAAAGCATACAAACATTCCTCGGGCATCGCCCGACATCAGACCGTAATCCGGAAACATACAAATACAGACACATGCAAGAATCACGAAAACATCAAGCATACAAACATTCCTCGGGCACCGCCCGACATCAGATCGTAATCCGAAAAACATATAAACATACATCGGGCACCGCCCGGCATCGGACCTTAGTTCGGAATACATACATTCATAAATACGGGTCGGTATTGGTGCCTTCGACCCGTTCAAACAGGAGGAAAACTCACCTGAATGCTTAATCTCACGGTAAGAAATCTCTAACGGCTGCTCCGACGACTCCCCGAGTTATCAGTACAAAATAACACTTAGTCAAAACCCAATAATCCTTCTTAGGGTAAAATGACCATTTTACCCCTGATCTAATTTGGTCCATGCCTAAAGCCCAAAACCATAACATGAAAGGCCCAATACTAGGTAGACTTCCCAAGCCCACTAATGGCCTACCATTGGCCCAATTTTCTAAATTGGGCCCAACCACTCTAATGGGCCTTACCCTAGACCCAAAATAAGACATAGTCCAATAAAGCCCAAAATGATGATCCACTAAGGCCCATAGTAGTAAAGTCCAAGAAAATGGCCCAAGGAAGCCCACTGCCGTAACGAACGCAGGGCGTTCCCTTGTGGAACGCTGAGCGTTCCTTAACAGTCCAGATCGCGAGCCCCAACGAGAACGCAGGGCGTTCTCGGACCTTACGCAGCGCGTTCGCGTCCAAATTCCAAAAACTGGCCATTAAGCACTTAATGCTTAAACAATGCTACCCAAAACGTAGAGCCAAGCCATTTATAAAGTCACAGACTTTGTGACTTTGCATGCCCCCAAAAGCTCCAAACTCCAAAAATAGCATTCTTCTTCCATGAAAATGGCCTTGTCTCATGCATGAACACATCAAGACCTTCAACATGGCAACTTTCTGTCTTAGGGACTCAAATAGCACCGAGGGTGGCAACCCTAAGCCTAGGAAGTGGATTTG